CTGCTGTGCTGTTTCCCCGCTGCTTTTGAGAGTGGCCCTGTAGTTTGTTCGCGTGCTCACGAGGGGGTTAGGCGAACAGTTTGTTGCTCGTTTCCGTTTAACAGAGCGGGGAAGACTGAGGGCCTATGGCGAAGGGCCAGGCTTGCCTGAATCTTTGCCACAAATCCACCGAGAGACCAACACCTCTCTCGCCTGCCCGGCCGGCCACGCCAGGCCCCAAGCGGGCAGGCGTTGCGCTTTGTAGAAAAGGGGCGAAGGGTCAGAGTGCCGCACCCGCCGGACTCCGCCGGTAGCGCGCGGCGTGCCCAAGCCGCGCCGGTAAGCGCCGGCCCCCTGCGGCGTTTGCCGCTCCTGTTGCCCCTCTGCGTAGAAGCGGGATGCAGAACGTTCATGTGGTGCTGTAGGACTGCCGTGGTTCATGTCCGCAAATGTTCTATAAGAATGCGTACGGGGGCTTGGGACGGCTGGCCTTACGTCCACTCGTTCCTCAACGGCGGCTCTTTGAACGTGTGCGAGGGGTAAAACGTGGGTATTTATTTGCACCAGCAAAGAAACAGTTAATTTTGGTCCTTTCCGAGCGGGCACTTTTGGAGAAGTAGAAGATAAGATGCTAGGAAGGTTCTCACTTAATGGGCAGGAAGCAGGGGCAAGGTGGGTTTCCGAGGGGAAAAAGCATATAGAAAGGAAATACAGAGAACTCAAACTAACTCCCAGGAATTTCACAGTTATTGCCCACCAGGGTAATTCCACTGGATGGTTGCTATGGCTCGAATGTTTGTGTCCCCTCCAAAAATCACGTTGAAACTTCATTGCCAAGGTAACAGCACTAAGAGGTGGGGCTTTCAGAGGGTGATTAAGTCAGGAGGGGGGAGCCCTTGTGGATGGGATTAGGCGTCTCATAAAAGGGTTTGATGGAGAAAGTCTGTCCCTTTCCCTGCTGCCTTCTGCCATGCGAGGACACAGTGCTCTTCCCCGCCGCAGAGCGCAACGTTCAAGGTGCCATCTGGCCACCAGGCAGCAGTCCCCACCAGACGACCAAATCTGACGATGCCTTGATCTTGGACTTCCCAGCCCCCAGAGCTGCGAGCCAACAAATTAATTTTCTTATCAAATTACCCAGTCTCGGGTATTTTGTTAACGCAGCACAAACTAAGACAACGGTCGAGTGTGTCTGCTACATCATGCTTTTCAGAGGTGTTTCGAACGGACCGTCAACGTCCTTCATGCTCATTTCTCACGGATACCTCTCCTTAGTGGTAGGTAGGACTCTAAGGGGCTCCTAAGGTCTTGAGGGAAACGCTAGGGTCTCCAGGACAAAAATATCAGCAAAGGAAACCTGTTCATAACATCTGGTGCATTCCAAGGCCAGCCAGAAGCAACTCGGGGAGGACTGAAGAGTTTCTGAGAGCGCGTTCCCTGGTTACCATGGAAACATGCGAGCTGGTGATGCACAAGACCTGAGAGAATTGCTCGTGCATAGCACTGTGGGTCTGGAAGAACTTTTGGGACCACGGGATCCGGTCTCCACCAAGTACAGGGAAGCAGTCTGAGACCCAGAGAAGCCACACTCCATCGATTCTAAGGCATGCGTTTTTGTTGACATCTTGACATCTCTGAAGTTCAAGTGTATCTTAAAATCGGCATGTCCTGGTTTAGAGGGCACCATTGTTTTATTCCTTAGTGACACACAAAATAAAGGACTGCCTTATAATTGAAGATGATGGTAACGACCTGTCCAAGGTATTTAGGGGCAGGGCAGGCTTTGAGAATCAGGTCATCTGGGTTCAAATCCCGGCTCCGTCACTTACTAGCTGCGTGATCCTGGGCAAGTTACTTAACGTCTCTCTGTCTCAGTTTTCTCCACCGGAAAACGGGAACAATTAGAGGGCCTTTACAGGCCCAGGGGGCCCAGGCTGGATGTCCCAATCCCCTGTTCCTGAACCAGGACAGACTGTGCAAGGTGATTAGTGAGTAGAATGCAGGGGATTAAAAATAGGTTATTAGAGGAAGTTAAAACAAGAAGTGAAGAGTCCTCATTTATAAGAGACTCCAGAGGGACCAAAATGCAATTACTAAGGTTGGAACTAGGTCAGGGCTCTCGGAAGGAGAACAGGTCCCCGAGGGGTGTCCTGGGGGAGGTGTCAGCCAATGTGACCGGGAACAATGAGGGTTATGAGAAGATAATGGCCTGGCCTAGGCTCTTGGGCCTTTCTAGGTCAAAGACTAGACCGTCTCTTATGGCTGTTCTAAGTCAATACTGAACCAGGTCAGAAGGGCAGTGAATAAGTCAGACAAACCAACAGACGTAGGGGGACAGCAGCTAGCAGGCAAAAAGTCCTCACCTGCGCGGCCCACAAGCCAGAGCTAGGGCATACACGTGCCCTCCTCACTGCCCAGTCTCTACTCTTGTTGATTCCTCAGAGCTCTTTACTTTTCAAATCTTGGTCCGATGTCTCCCCATTTTTTTTCTGCGTCTCCTTACCCTCAATATCGGCCCCCAATATTGATATCATCTCATATTAATTCCCAGAATCTGGGAATAGGCCCAGAGGGCAAATCCTTGGGGGTTCTGGTACCCATCAAGCGAGTAAGATGCTCTCATACTTATTGGAGGGGAAGTTCTAGGAATGAATTAGGAAGCCAAAAGGGACAGGAGAGGAAGTACAGAAGCAGCAGAAGGTTTGAAAGAAGAGGAGAAAGCAGGAAGTCAGAAGCAGAGAAAACGAGGACAACACATAAGCCACTCCCTGTTTCTAAGGCACCCCCTCCTCTCTTAACCATAAATTATTTTAATGTTCCCAGAGATGCCCATAAAAATTACATCTATGTTTCTGTTTCTATCTGGCTGTCTTGTGTTCACTGTTTTATTTTGTTTTGTTTTCTCTCTGTCTCTCTTCCAATACCCCCTTCACCAGCACCTCCACGCCACTCTCCCAGAAAGGGATCGCAGGAACATCTGGTGGCCTGAGTTCCAGGTTCCAGCTCCCAGGCCCGAGGAAGACGGGCTCCACTGCTGTGGCAGCAGCCACACCGGTCCCCGTCCCAGCTGTGGACGTGGCCAAATGGGAGGGAAGATTCAACGAAGACCAAGGGAAAGAACACACAGCACCAGAGAAAGAGACGTAGGAAAAAGGGTGTGAGGAAGGGATCAGGGAGCCGGCAGGGGCGGGGCCGGGCTGTACTCACAAAGGAAGTCGGAGAGCCACTCGGGCTGGTTGTAGTGGACGATAGCAACACACAGCGTGTTGAGGGCTACCAGACTGAGCACAGTCCAGTAGAAGGCCTGAGTTTTGACCATGCGGCGGATGTAGAAACGCATCCTCCTCTCTTTTTTGTGAAAAAAAGTCGAGTTCTCCAGCTTGGCACTTTTAATGCTGGCTCGGGCGAAGGGAGAACCTGCCAGGGAAAGGACGAAGGAGAAGGTCAGGCTCAGGCCGGCTCCCGGCTGGGGAATCCATCGGCCTCTGCAGCAAGCCCTCTGGGCCGAGGGAACGATCGGGCACGGCCCATGGGCTTGGCTTTGCAGGGATGGAGCTCACAAGGAGACAATGTCCCTGAAAATAAAAGCACTGGAAGTAAACGATGAGAACTCAGGGTGTCAACGGGGAGGCTGACGGCACTCTGTTGCAGGGGCCGAGAGGGGACATGCTAAATAAGTAAATTAACAGTGAGATGGAAAGGGAAACGTGATTGGTGGGGGGAAGAGAGAGGAGGTGAGAGCAGGTCATGCAGAGCCTGGTGGACCACAGGGAAGACTTTGGCTTTCACTCTGAGGGAGGTGGGAGCCACAGAGGGTTCTGAGCAGAGGAGGGACACACCTGACTAAGGTGTTCACAGTCCCCTCTGGCGCTGCAGGGGGAACAGACAGAGAGAGGCAAGAGCTGGAGCTGGGAGACCAGCTTGGAGGTGACTACACCGGAACAGTCAAGCAGTGACGGGGACTAGACTTGGGTGGTGGCCGAGCAGGGAGAGTGGCTGGATTTGAGGATATATTATTTAAGGTAGATTCAACTTTTGCTGATGGATCAAGTGTGGGTGTCAGAGAGAGGAGGCAGCCACAGTTTTTGGTAAGTCCCTGGAGGGATGAAGCCACCACCGAATGGGACAGGTCTGGGGGGAGGGTCAGAGCTCAGCTTTGGACACAATGAATCCGTCTTCTAAAATACCTCTTCTCGTAAACCTTCAATTGCACTCATTTCTTTATTGTTCTTCATCAGTTCATTCATTCGTTTGTGCATTCGTTCATCCATTCCTTTGTTCATCATTCATTTGCTCACCCATCCATTCATTTGTTCATTCATTCATTCATTCCTTTGCTCATCCATCCATCCTTTGTTCATTCATTCATTCATTCCTTTGTTCATCATTCATTTGCTCATCCATCCATCCTTTGTTCATTCATTCATTCATTCCTTTGTTCATCATTCATTTGCTCATCCATCCATCTATTTATTTGTTCATCATTCATTTGCTTATCCATTCATTTGTTCACTCATTCATTCACTCACTCACCCATCCACCCATCCAGCGCGTTTATCGAAACCACCCACTTGCCAGGCACAGACAGGACACAGCAAACGCCTCGAAGGAAGCCACTTCCTGTTAGCAAAATTCTCAACAAAGACTCCAAGCCAGCACCCCAGCAGCTATAACGGCTCATATTAGGTTTCGTGAAAGCTGAAATTATCGGTCCACGTTTAAAAACTGGGAGGATTTTCCCACAAAACTCTCGATCTTGGCTTCCCTCGAGCGAATACAACAGCCGACGTCTACGGAACATCTCGCCGGCACCAGGCACCGCGGGGAGCACGTTTGACTCGGGACTCGCCCCTCCCTGCAGTCGGGGAAGGAGGGACCAGCGTCATCCGCGTTTCATAGCCGGGGACACGGAGGCTGGGAGAAGTTGCGAGGGGCCCGCTCGCTGGATGAAACGTGTCGCGATGGCTCACAGCACGTGCTCTTGGCTACCGCACTGCACTCCTGGGACTTGGGGTCCCGGGGAAGAGTATGTCTCCACCCACAGCAGGCGGCTAGGCCCGGTGGCCGTGGCCTCCTTGCAGGGACACCCCTCCCCTCTGCCCAAGACGCTTCCCTCGTGTCCACAACCTGCGCAGCCCCAGCGGCGGGTCCCCATGGCCCAGCCCAGTCGGGCATTTCTAGCCCAGGTCCCTGCAGCTCCGAAAGATGTGCCTGGGCCTGCAGGTCTCCGAGGGACTTGGCAAAGAGGAGCGGGACCCTCAGGTGACTCGGGGATCAGGATGTGTCACAGGGGGAGAGAGAGAGAGAGAGAGAGAGGGAGAGATGGTGGTGGGCGGGAGGCCCCCGGCCCCTCCTCCCACTGCCGTCACTGCAGAAAACCCGGTTCCCTCACCAACCAGCAAGTCACCCTGCGTCTTGGGTCTGCAAACCGAGGACGGCCACGCTTCCTGCCTCATAGGGCCACTGAGCGGCATCGGTGAGTTAATCTATCTTAGCACGAAGTCTGGCACGTGATGGGTACTGGGCGTGATCTCCTACCGCAACCTCGAGTTCGAGTGCCAGTCGTGGAGGGAGTCTGTCCCGATCACTCAGGCTGGGGACACCTCCATCGACAGGTATTCCCTTCACTGGGAAGGGGCAAAGAAGAAGTGGATGCCATGCCAACTGAACACAGGCTAGGTGCTATGCCTCGTGCCAGCTAGCTACTACCACTGATAACTTTTTTGTTTTTAAGAGGCCAGTTCTTGCTCTGTCACCCAGGCTAGAGTGCAGTGGCATCATCATAGCTCACTGCAGCCTCAAACTCCTCCGCTTAAGTGATCCTCCTGCCTCAGTCTCCTAACTAGCTGGGACTACAGGTGCACACTGCCATGCCTGGCTAATTTTTAAATTTTTTGTAGAGAAAGGGTCTCACTGTGTTGCCCAGGCTGGGCTCGAACTCCTGGTCTCAAGTGATCTTCCCATCTTGGCCTCCCAAAGTGCTGGGATTACAGGTGTGAACCACTGCACGCTAAACATCTACAGATGAATAATGCCAAATCACACACCTGAAATGCTGCAAATTTACACTCCTGCGGACTGTACCCGAGAGTGCCCATTTCCCCACATCCTTGCCAACATGGGGCAGTATTAGTTTTTCAACTTTGCCAGAACGATTGTTGAAAAAATAATATCGCCTTTTAAAGTAAGGGCAGGTATCCTGTCTTAGCCATAGAAGAGATTCTGTCTTGGGCACCCATATATTTTTTTCCAGCGCCCAACATTCAATAAATGTGGTATGAACAACAACAACAAAGGCTGCTTATCAAGATATAACAAAACTGATTTAAAATAATTGAAGCATAGCACTCTGGGAGGCCGAGACGGGAGGGTTGCTTGAGGCCAGGAGCTCGAGACCAGCCTGGACAAGAGTGAGATCCCTCTCTACAAAAAACAGAAAAATTAGCTGGGCGTGGTGATGGGCACCTATAATCCCAGCTACTCAGGAGGCTGAGGCAGGAGGATTAATTGAGACCAGGAGTTTGAGGCTGCAGTGAGCTATGATGACGCCACGGCACTCTACCTGGGGTGACAGAGTAAGAATCTTGTCTGCTCCCCACCAAAAAAAAGAAAAAAAAAAAAGAGAGAGACAGACATAACTGATCAAATGCTGAAAACACTGAGCACTATACTTCTTGACAATTGCTTTTAAAGGAGATTAAACAGATGCACACATTCGTGGAAACAGAGTAAGTTCTTCATTTCAAGGAAAAGCGTGTTTTGGCTAGAAATTAAGAATGCAAATGAAAACAAGCTTTATGGTATCATTACAAACCTACTTAACTGGGAAAGGAAATTAAATTGATAATACGCGATGGCCGGGGTGGGGAATCCACAAACGTGCTCGCATTTGGCAAGTTTATAAATGGGTTCCATGGTTTTGAAACTCAGAGTGGCTCCGTGAATAATGAGTTGAAAAGCTGTTAATATCTTTGATCCTATAATTATCCCCAGGGAGATACGCCCCAGGGGTGGGGGCAGCAATTGTATATAAATGTGCGCAGCGGTGCTCCTCGCGAGGGAAATATTGGAAACGACTCAAACACCATCTCATGCAGCCAGGGCCGAACAAACCACAGTGCATCCCCCTCTCGGGACAGTGACTGCCACGGGGATTATGTCTAAACTCAGCAGTGATACTGTAAAGTAGGGTCGAGTGGGAAAAGTGGAATATAAACTAGTTCGTGCCTGTGGATCAGAAACACGCCTGACTTCCCTCCTCCCTTCGCTTCTTTCCCTCTTCCCTCCTCCTCCCTCTCTCCTTCTCTTCCCATCCTTTGGTTGTCCACGCCACTGCAGCCACGCAATTCCCCGACAGCCAAGTTCCCTCCCCCTTCGATCTTATTTCAGTCTCATTTCCCCTGCCCGGACGCTCTTCCAGCCATTATGAAGAACCCATTTCAAAAAGACCCCAATACACTGTCGCTGTAGAAAGTGACACAGAAGTGACACAGCCTCAGTCCACAAATCAACAGGACAGAGGGGCGAGAAGACACAGAATAAGTGTCCCCATCCCCTCTCAAAATTCTGGCCTTGGTGGTGGCAAAGGTCCGAGCCCTGCCTGTCACATTGTTCTCTCTGCAACCACCACTGCCATCACCACCACCACCACCACGGCGAACTCCTACTCATCCGTCAGCTCCCAGCTTGAACGTCGCCTCCTCCGGGAAGCCTTCCAGAGTGGGCCAAGCCCAGGGCGTCTCCTCTGCAGTGCCATGCCCATGACAGGGTTTATTTGCATAACTTTCTGTTTAATATCTATTTCCTGCGCTGGCCTGAGAGCCCCACGTGGGAAGGGATCCTGTCTCTGTCCTCATTCACAATTAGGCATCTAATAATAAGAGCAGGTTCCCCAAGGAAGATTCCAGAGTGAGTCACAAACATTAGCCAACGTGACGGGGGGCTTAGCGTCTGCCGGGCGCCGGCGCTCAATGCTTTGCGGGGACTGCTCGGCCGGGCGCGGGCAGCCCGGGTCCTCCCGTCTCTTGGGGGACGGGTGACAAATAACCGCCGGGCTGCAGAGGAAGCGACTCACCGACGGAGGCGATATCGGCCAGCTGATCCTCGGCTTCCTCAGGGCTGAGCAGGTCCGTCTTGCTCTTCTTTATGGTGGCTCTCCGCAGAGCTCCAACAATGGAAACATGGCAAGAGAAAAAGACGTTACCCTTTCTGCAACAGGGACGCGGTGTGACCCGAGAGCGTGTCCTCGGATTTAACCCTCGTGACAACCGGTGTGGCGGGAACCGACAGTGCGCGCCCCCACTTTACAGGTGCGTAAACTGAGACTCGGGGAGGTGACACCGCTTTGCCTGAGGGGCAAAGATAAGAACCCAATCCCGTTCGGTCTGACTCCCAGCTCTGGGCTCTCGGCCACTCTGTTCCCTCCGGTCTGTTTTCAAATTCTAAGGAACCTCGCTTGGAACTTGGTGCCGGATGCATCGTGACTCTTACGAAAACAGTCCACCCCTTGGACAGTCGCGAGGTAAGCTGGGTTTGTGGACGCTGTCCCCCAATATTGAGGCGATGCACCCCCCAAGGGCTCTGCGGGGGCCAGTGGGGGCAGGTACACACTCCCAGGAAAGAGATTTAGATGCCCTGCATGGGTAACCCCCTCCCCCCACCAAAACGGTAAAATTTATCTCATAACCTCCCAGTTCTTTTATTCGAAGGAATTCGAATGCCTGGCGTTTTCAATCTAAAGTCATCACTGTGTCTAACAGCTTTCTATAAACCTCAGGCAACAAGCTGTATTTTTCATGGAGAATTATTATCTTTGTTCATGTTATTAACGCAGCCCTCTGGCCCGTCTCTGCATCCTGCAAAACTTTACTTCCAGGGAGCCCCAGACCGGATTCACGGTGACGCCTGTAGCCCCCTGTCCCCTGACTCCCAGCAGGGCTGCCGCATCGGCTGTGGGTTTAGGAACAACTATAATGAACATCAACCTCAGAAACGATCCCGTGGAGTAGGGATTATTTATATTATGCCCATTTTACAGATGGTAAAAGCAGAGGCACAAGGCAGAAAAGGCTGGGCATGTGGTTCGAGCGGGCAAAGGAAAACCCGGCACCTGCTACCTGACATCCCTCCAGGAAGCAGGTTCCTGCTATTTCCCGGAGCATCCTGAACCTGACCCGGTTTTGGGCTCGTTCCTGGTGTGACCCGGGCCCTGGACGCCCATCCACCCCACGGAGGCCCCTCGGAACAAAGCTGCCTGTCCCCCCCGCCCGGCCGCTCCCCTGCCCTGAGCCCGCCAGGAGCTGGGGTCGGGGCAGTTACCATCAAACGGGTGCCGCTGCTCTCCGTCCGTCTCGTCCTCCGCGAGGATCACCTCTTCTGAGGAGGAAGAGCACAGCGCTAAGCCCCACGGCTGGAGGGCGGCCCTGCGGGTCACTGCCTTGGGCTGGGAGGGAGAAGGGTCCCCCTGGCCACCCCCATGCCCCCCCCCCCAGCTGACGGTGGCTGCACAACCCGCCCAAAATGGGCTGCTGGGTTTTGTTTTGTCAGGACTCCAAGCCCCACCTCGGCGACAGGTGACAGCCAACGTCACCCCCACTTCACTCGAAAGGAAAGTCAACATCCTCCCTGCAGCCTAGAAGCCCGCGCTTGAGCTGTCACCTCCCTGTCCTCCTCTCCTGTGACTCTCTTCTTGGCTCTCTCCGGCTTCCTTGCTACGTCTCGAGCGCGCTCCTGCCCCAGGGCCTTGGCACGTGCTGTTCCTGCTGCCTGGAGTTCCTCTCCCCTCACCATCCCTTCAATTCCTTCTGGTCCCTGCTCGGACCTCCCTTCATCAGAGAGCCCTTCCCTGCCCCCCCCCTCCCGCCCCAACCGTTCTCTGCTTCCTACCCCGCCGTAGCTTTCTTCTCTGCATTTGGACGGCACCCGACGTGCCATGTATTTGTTTGTTTTTTGTCTCTCTCTCTGGAATGTCAGACCCCTGGGATTTGGGCAGGGATTTGGTCTGTTTTCTTTGCTACTGTATCCTCTGTGCCTACAACAGTGCCTGACACGCGGCAGGTGCCCCAGAGGCGTTTGTTAAGTGGCTGAGCCAATCTATAGGCGCCTACCGTGTATCAGTCACTCGCGTTCCTCCCAAGTGACTTAGCTGGGATTATTTTCCTAGATACTCAAATAGCCCCGCGAGGCAGGTGCCATTATGATCCCTATCTCGAAGCTGGGGAAACCGAGTCACGGGCAGGGCGAGTACATCACTAGAAGGCGGCAGAGCCAGGACGCGGACCAACGTCTGACTTCAGGACTCCACGATTACGTGGAGTCACATCCCAGCTTTGTCCCAGAAATGTTCCTATCGAGCTCTGGATTCTTGTTGCTAAAGTGTGGGGGCTACCAGTGGAGATTCTCTTTCTCCTCCCCTCAGGACGCTCCCAGCTCAGCCCTCTCCGAACTGCACGCACGACTGTCTGTGTGCTCTGCGGCCTCAGGTCCCCACCCCTGGGCCCCGGGATGAAAGGGCCTCACCTGCTTTTGAGATCCACTCCATGTACCCATTGAGCTCGCGTTCAATCTGTTGTTGCCGCCGCAGCTTCAGAAAAGCCCGTCGATTCTCTACTCGCTCCCTTTCTTTGGCAAACTCCCTGCGGAAGCACAAAGAAGCCAGGGTCTGGCTGTTTTGGAAGTTTTAGGGAGTGTGTGTGTGTGTGTGTGTTTGGGGCTTCAGAAGTCTCTGGAGCTCAGAGGTTTTCAACAGGAAAAGTTGTGGGAGAAGATCGAAATGTTACGCCAGCTTCAGGCATTTCCCAGCAACTGCACCCAGGTAAAGAAAAAAAAAAAAGCAAAAGCATAAAACCAGGTGCGCCAACCCCCACTGGCTACATACCCCATTCTCATTCTCTCCATAATTCTGGCTAAAAATTATTTTCAGGCCTCTTTCATGCTAGACCAGTAAGACATGAGCTGAAGATTCCTACAGCAGTTCCATTTCCCAGGTGCAGGCCCTGCCTCTTCCTGTTTCCCTTCTTCCTCTTCCTGTTTCCCTTCTTCCTCTTCCTGTTTCCCTTCTTCCTCTTCCTGTTTCCCTTCTTCCTCTTCCTGTTTGGAACATGGGGCGGCCATCTTGGGACAATGAGGTATCCATGAGATTGGAAGCCTCCGGTAAAGATGTCAGGGTGGAAAGCCGGGAAGATCTGGTGTTGTTGATGGCACCGTAGAGCCACCCAGACTTCTTGTGGTGAGAAAAATGAGGCCCACTTGTGATGAAGCCAAAAAAAAAAAAAAAATCCTGGAGGTGTCAGGAAAATGCTAGTTTGATTGTATGCTATGATATTACATTTGGGAAAAAGGGGAAGGAGAAACCCAAACCATTGTTTTTTTTTTTTTTAAATGTAAATTACAGGCCGGGTGCGGTGGCTCACGCCTGTAATCCTAGCACTCTGGGAGGCCGAGGCGGGCAGATTGCTCGAGGTCGGGAGTTTGAAACCAGCTTGAGCGAGACCCCGTCTCTACCAAAAATAGAAATAAATTAATTGACCAACTAAAAATATATATACAAAAAATTAGCCGGGCATGGTGGCGCATGCCTGTAGTCCCAGCTACTCGGGAGGCTGAGGCAGCAGGATTGCTTGAGCCCAGGAGTTTGAGGTTGCTGTGAGCTAGGCGATGCCACGGCACTCACTCTAGCCTGGGCAACAAAGCAAGACTCTGTCTCAAAAAAAAAAATGTAAATTACAGAAAGTAATGCCCCCATGAACCCTCCTCACTGGGTACCCCTGGCAGTGTACAACCTATGCATCTGTACTTTGCTTGCTAACGACAGTCTGCTAAGCCAAAACAAGGGAAGAAACAGTTTCATTTACTGTCTAAGGAATGAAAAAAAAAAGCTTCGATGGCCTCTTCATGGGTAGAAGCTGGCAAGCGGGAGAGGGATGGGGGAACAGCAGAGACTTACCCTGACAGCACACCCAGCACGAGGTTCAGCATAAAAAAGGAGCCGATGATGATAAGGGGGATGAAGTACAACCAGTTCCAAGTGTTCCCTGAGGCGTCGTTGCTCTGTGGGGTGTGAGGAAGGAAAGCAGGTGAGGGCTGAGTGGGACTTAGGTAGCCGGGGACCTGATAGGTGGGGGAAGGGGGAACCCTGGTGTTTCCAAAGCTCTTGGCCTGTGGAGTCCTAGAGCTCTGGCAGCCAGGAGAGGGAAATGTAGGGGTGAGGCTCAACCAGTGGGGGGAACCCCTGAGGTACCACCAGAAGAGCAAAGCTCTCTCCTAATCATGCTGACTTCACAAGACCTGAGAACCAGCGTGAAACACAAGAGAATTTCCCAGACTGGAGTCCAAGAGGAGAAGGGAAAAACCTCCACTGAAATAGATAAATGAATCCCTGGTTTCCTCCCTTCTCCCAACACACTCACAGTCTCCCCTTAGAGGAGGGGCATGACCACAGATGGCCTGGTGAAGTCACCAAGCCCCATGGCAGGGCCTCGAGTGTCCCCCTTTTCCATTTCCTGCATGTGTCAATGTCAACCAAAAAGTTCCCAGAAGTCCCCAGCTCAAGTTTCAAGGGGGGAAAAGTCCACAAACAGAACATTCTTCTCTTAAACAGAGAATAGAACACTGTGGCAAGAAGGAAGTAAGAGGAGGGGAAACAAATTAAGAACAGAGAGAGAGAGAAGTAGGGAGGGAGGAGGCTAGGAGAATGATAAAAACCAGGATTTACAGAGTATTTACTGTGTGCTAGGCACTCTCCTAAGCACATTACCTGTGTTAACTCACTCACTCAATCCTCATGATGTTATCATAATTTACATTTTACAAGTAAGGGTCGCAAAGACAAAACCCCCAGCCCATGGCCCCAGAGCTAGTTAGTGGTAGATATGGGATTTGAACCAGGGGGCTGAGCCTCAGAGTCCATGGACTCAACCTCTCTGTGCTGGGGAAGCCTTGGCTCTGGCCACGAGGGCAGGCAGAGACTTCCAGTGGTTCATCATCCTGTGGTACCTGCAAAATGCAGGGCTCCCAAGTGTGGCTTTAAAAGCCCACCTTTAAAATCACATGTGACACTGCTGCTGCCTGGAAGAAAGGCTAAATGAGAAAGAAGTTGAGATGAGGCCATTACTAACAGGTATCTGTGGGGCTGTGGAGCAACTGGAACCTTTATACCCTGCTGATGGGAGGGTCGCATGGAGTATTAGTCCCCTGTGGCTGCTGTAACAACCATAAACTGGGCGGCTTAAACAACAGAAATTCATTGTCTTATGATTCTGGAGAACATAAGTCAAAGACCAAGGTGTTAGTGGGACTGGTTCCTTCTGAGGGCTGTGAGAGAGAATCTGTTCTATGCCTCTCCGCTAGCTACTGGCGGTTTGCTGGCAATCTGTCATGACCCTTGCCTTGTAGAAGCATCACCCTGATTTCTGCCTTCACTTTCACATGGCATTCTCCCTCTGCGTGTGCCTGTGTCAGAATGTACCCCTTTTATAAGGACCTCTGTCATACTGGGTTAGGGCTCATCCTAATGACAACATCTTAGCTAAGTACATGTGCAATGACCTCATTCAGGCAGTGAGGGTTAGGACTTCAACATATAAGTTTTGGATGGATACAATACAACCCCAAACAACCCATATGCTTGGAAAAATGGGTTGGGAGTTTGTACTAAAACTAAGTACAGTCACGAATTGCATAACAATGGGGATAAGCTCTGGAAATTGCACTGTCGGGTGATTTTGTTGCTGTGTGAACATCCTAGACTGTACTTACACAAACCTGCAGGGTACAGCCTACTACGCAGCTAGGCTACATGGTATAGCCAATTGCTCCCAAGCTACAAACCCGTACAGCATGTGACTCTTCTGAATACTGCAGGCAATTGTAACACAATAGTACTTGTGTATCTAAACATACCTAAACATAGAAAAGGGGCAGTAAATATATGATATTATAATCTTAGGAGGGCAAGCGTAGTGGCTCACGCCTGTAATCCTAGCGCTCTGGGAGGCTGAGGCAGGAAGATCACTTGAGTTCAGGAGTTTTTTGGTTTTTGGTTTTTTTTTTTGATACAGTCTCGCTTTGTTGCCCAGGCTAGAGTGAGTGCCGTGGCGTCAGCCTCGCTCACAGCAACCTCAAACTCCTGGCTCAAGCAATCCTCCTGCCTCAGCCTCCCGAGTGGCTGGGACTATAGGCATTCGCCACCATGCCCGGCTAATTTTTTGTATATATATTAGTTGGCCATTAATCTTTCTATTTATAGTAGAGACGGGGTCTCGCTCTTGCTCAGGCTGGTTTCGAACTCCTGACCTCGAGCAATCCGCCCGCCTCGGCCTCCCAGAGAGCTAGGATTACAGGCGTGAGCCACCGTGCCCCGCCGAGTTCAGGAGTTTGAGGCCAGCCTGAGCAAGAGCAAGACCCCATCTCTACAAAAAAAACCCAGAACAATTAGCTGAGTGTTGTGGTGTGTGCTTGTAGCCCCGTTATTCAGGAGGCTGAGGCAGGAGGATTGCTTGAACCCAGGAGTTTGAGGCTGCAGGGAGCTATGATGACGCCACTGCACTCTAGCCTGAGCAACAGAGCGAGACTCTGTCTCAAAAATTAATAAATAAATAAAAAATATGATCTAATGAAACCACCGTTGTATATGGGGTCTGTCACTGACGGAAACAAAGTGGCGTGGTGCATGCATCTTCACCAAGACCCAGCGGCCCCACTCCCGGGTAGTTACCCAACAGAAACGTGAACCTGCGCTCACCACAGGCACGGACAAGGACGTTCATGGAAGTGACATTCACAACAGCCCCAAACTGCAAACAATCCGGCCGGGCGCGGTGGCTCACGCCTGTAATCCTAGCACTCTGGGAGGCGAGGCGGGCGTCGCTCGAGGTCAGGAGTTTCGAAACCAGCCTGAGCAAGAGCGAGACCCCGTCTCTACTAAAAATAGAAAGAAATTAATTGGCCAACTAATATATAGAGAAAAAATGAGCCGGGCATGGTGGCGCATTCCTGTAGTCCCAGCTACTCGGGAGGCTGAGGCAGGAGGATCGCCTGAGCCCAGGAGACTGAGGTTGCTGTGGGCGAGGCTGACACCACGGTACTCACTCTAGCCTGGGCGACAAAGAGAGACTCTGTCTCAAAACAAAACAAAAAAACTGCAAACAATCCGAATCTCTATCTACAGGAGAGGACACATAAATGCAACATTATGCAATTAATGAGTGCCACAGGTTGCCACGTGAAATCTCACAAAGTTAACGTTAAGCAAAAGAATCCAGACGGAAAGGAGCTTGTATGTCGGATGCCATTCATACAAAATATAAAACCAAGCAAACTAGTGGGTGGGGCTGGAAGTCCCGCAGGTGGCAACCTTTGGGGGAGACAGTGACCAGAGACAGGACTCGAGGGGGCTTCTGGGGCCGAGAAGGTTCTGTTTCCCCACGTGGCGCTGGTTACACGGGGCTTCAGTTCGTGAAAACTCATCGAGCCCTTCCCTCATAGTCCATGGGGTTTTCCTGCATGTTTGTTTTATTTCAATGATTACAAGAAAGTCTTACTTTCTTAATTTAAAAGTCAACTCTACCTTGAAAAGGAAGGACATTCTGACACATGCTGCAACATGGGTGCACCCCGAGGACCCTATGAGCCAGTCGCAAAAGGACAAGCGCCGTGTGACTCCGTCTGCAGGGCGCTAGAGTCGTCAAGACCAGAGACAGAAAGCAGGAAGGTGGGTGCCAGGCGCGGGGGAGGGGCGCGGGGAGTCAGTGTCTAACAGGGACACAGTTTCAGCTGGGGAAGATGGAAACGTTCGGAGGACTGACGGTGGCGATGTGTGCACAGCGTGAATGCGCTTAGTGCTACAGAACTGTGCACTTAAAAAGATGGCTAAGATGGTAAGTTTTATGCCATGCATATTTTGCCACGACAACAAAAATAAAATGCAAAATAAAAACCACCACCACCGCCACCACCACCAAAAAAAAATCAGCTTTAATCACGGGACACAGCCAGGTTCTGGGGACAATGAATGTGCCAAGCCCCCAGTCCCCGCACCCTTGTTCTAACAAGCCCAAACGCTTGCAAACACTTTGCTTCTAGAAGTTTCTGGGAGAAAGAACGGACTCAGTGGAACAGCGGCCGGGCAGAAGACCGGGCTGTGCTTTGTGCCTCTCTCCCCTCCGTCACTCCGTGGCGGCTGAGGGCTGCTCGCTCCCATTTCTCGGGGCTAAATATAGCCCCGGGAGCAAACGGCCAGCAGCAGGCCATCTCCGCTGTCAGGAGGTGCAGGCTCGGGTAATAGGGACAGGGCTGGGGCTGGGGGAGGGGACAGGACTGAGCAGGGAGATGCCGCTGAGGTCTCTCCCGGCCACCGAGGCGGCCCCTTCATCTCAGACACTAGCAGCAAGACCCGCGTCAGCCCGCGCCCTGGCTCCAGGACAGGCTCGGGGGTCTCTGGCCATGCGACATCCTGCCCAGCAACTTAACAGGCACCCGGCGTTGGGGGAGGGGGAGGGCTGGCCTATTTGAGCTCATTGAATCCTCTCACAAATCCAAACAGGCAGCCGCATAATCGTGCCCGCCCTCCCAGGTGGGGAAACTGAGGCACAGGACAGTTAAGGCCACATGCCCAAGGCCCCGTTGTGGGTTGTACCGAGCGTTCCTAGAAAGATGTGCCGCAGTCCTACCTGGCACCTGTGAATTGGAAACAGGGGTCTTTGCGGACGTAATTAATTAAGATGAAGTAGTAACTGGGGTGCCCCTCCGGAGCTGTGAGAGAGTAACTTTCCGTTGTTTTAAGCTGCTCAGTGTGTGGTGCTTTGTTACGGCAGCTATGGGACATGAGAAAAGTCACCGAGCTCCTAAACGGCAGAGACGGCCCCCCGCACAATCTCCCAGCCACAGAGCTTCCTACCGGTTCTCCGAACACGCCAAGCGCAGTCCTACCCCAGGGCCTTTGCACAGGCTGTTCTCTCTTTCCCTGAGGTGGCTGCAAGGTTCTTCCTCCCTCACCTACTTAAGGTCTCTGCTCAAATGCCACCTTTTTGTTCTTCGAGACCGGGTCTTGC